TCAGACAAAGACAGAGACAATGTTAATTCTGCAAAAAATAAATAAGTGAGTATTTAGCTAAACAAAATCAAAGATAGATTTGGTCTTCTTAAAAAAGCCGGTAGATAGGAGGTTCATATCATTTGATTTGTCACATCAATTTTTGAAGCTCGATTTTGAGTTGACTGAAGTACAGCTATTGACTTGTCTGGTAGTGTTAAGTACAAACTACTACAATAATCCAATCTAGATGTAATAAAATCATGTTTCAATTTTTCAATGACAGATCTGTTCAAATAGCGTCGAATCATAATCATGTATAATCTTCTGAGATATATAATGTTTGCAATTGCTAGCGATTTAATTTGATTTTTCATTGAAAGCCTGCTATCCAACCATACACACAAATTTAAGGTTGTAGAAACAAATGATATATATACGTATATATGGCACTGTTCCTGCCTCTTGCGGACATACAATGGTTATCCCACTTCTGAAAGGAATAGATCATGAAGTCAGTGATATTACTAATAACAGGTCGTTTTCAAATCTTCGTTTCATATCTAAGGTAATGGAAAGAAATGTCGCTAAGGAGCTATTAATTCATTTGTCTAGGAATAATTTGTTACATGTTAATCAGTTGGGATACAGAAAATATCATTCAACAAACATGCTACACGTTTTGGAAAACCAACATGTATCGCTGGTTGCATTCCTTGATGCGAGTACAGCTTTCGATTGCGTGGATCATGATATTCTACTGCGGCGGTTATGTGAAGGTTTGGACGTTAAGGGGACAATGCTCTCATGGTTCAGATCATACTTTTCAAATCGAACTGAGCAGTTTTTTTTAAACGAAACCTGGTCTAAAATTAAAAATATAAAGTTTGATGTTTTTAAATGGTCGGTATTGGGACTACTGCTGTTCTTGTTATACACACATGAGATCCTGCATGTCGTCAAGTCTTTTGGATTCACAGAGCATGTCTTTGTTGGAGATATACAGATAATTGTTAGCTGCCCACCAGAGGAGTTTGATAAGATGAGTAACAAATTAACACGTTGTCTGGCAGAGGTCAATAAATGGATGATTAATAACAGATTAAATAAAACTCAAAAAGAGTAATACAATGCTATTGCCGATGGGAACGTGGCAATAGCTCCCAAGAATACATATTTCTTCATATATATATATATATATATATATATATATATATATATATATATATATATATATATATATATATATATGCAAATTTCATTGAAATTGTTTGCCCATTTTGCATTAATTAACTTCTTTATAAGACATTCAACGAGGCGGTATTGTTTGAGTTCATATTTATCTAACACTGGAATAAAGCTAACAGCGCTGTTTCGGCGTAATGCCATCTTCAGAGCCTAAATATTGTTTAAACATATAATTTAATTAAAATAAATGTCTAATGTAAAATGTGAAAATATAGAAAATAAAATATGTATTAAATTGTGAAATAAATTAACCTTGTTGTAAATATCATAATAACTAAAGTTTATGTAGATTATATAAATAAAATAATGTAATTTAAATAAAATGTTTAGTAAAATAATTAAAATATAGAAATTTTATAAAAGTTTTAACATGGTTGAAAAACGTTAGTGAAAACTAATTACGAATGACATGTGCGCCAGATATATATACATACATATATAAATACGGATATATATATATATATATATATATATATATATATATATATATCCGTATTTGCCTGTGATTGTGTATGTGTGGGTGATGCATTCGTGTTTACATATGTATGTAACGTTCTCTTTGCTCAGGATAAACGACGATTGTACGTGTGTATGTGTGTGTCGGTATGTGTTCGTGTGCGGAAGTGTGTGTGCATGTGTGAAACAATACGTCAACTGAAAGTAACATTTTAGAATTACGCTTAAAAGCTTACTCTAACATTTATTTAATTAAGTTTTGATGTATATGCTTCAAAAACGTTCTCTATCGTTTGCAGCTAGGAATAAGTTCAACAAAATATTTTCAACAAAACTTTTCATTTTTATTCATTTACATTCATACACATTTGAGTAATCTAGTTTTAATTAAATTCAACCATGTTAATAATTTTACGATTTGAAAAATATTTTAATTTGAAAAGCGAAATTTTAGATAAGATTGTCTATTTTAAATATATTTGTGTGTGTGTGTGTGTGTGTGTGTGGTGTGTGTGTGTGTGTGGTGTGTGTCTCGCAGAACAGAGCTTTTTACATGTAATTTTATTTTAAACCCATGATAATTAAAGTTACGTGCCACAAGGGCTGCACTGCCCACACGACACCACACGACGCACATACACATTAAGTAAGATGGTCTTAGAGTTTTGGACGGAGTTTCAAACCACGCCATTGATGTTATGAAGCAAAGCTCTCATTGAAGGAAGACGACCCCGCACTCTCTCGTGAAAATTTTTTTTATATAAAACTTTTTGACTGACGTGTGGGGCATTATTTATGTGTTATTCATTATTCATTTTCTAAAGAATAAATTAGCAACTGTTAATTTTAATTACTGTAAGATTAATTAAATTAGTTAATATTAAAAAGCTTTTGACTACAGCCGTTATAAAGTAAATTTCAACTATCGCCTGGTAAGGAATTGTGAATCGGTTACATCTTATCGCTAAATCTTGAAAAATTACTTTCTAAGATGTTTACAAACTAATCAATGAGGTTTTGAGACAGCGCTTTTTAAAACAAACTCTTAATGATTTTGCTATGATGCTAATCTAAAGATAAAACATTCATCTCCAGAATTATGCTGCAAGACATTTATTTTTAATTTGCCATAATCTGAGTCAAAAAGCAATTTTGATGAAGCTAACACAAAGTTAGAAAGTTATGCATTTTAACGTACCTTAATCAACGTAATGGAATGAACATTATTTCGGAAAAACAAAACGTTTTAGCAGAAAGAATGAAGATTTGATAAACAGGATTTATGAGAGCCAATGAAAATTTGAAAAAAATGTTTGAAATATTAATAATATAAATTAAATTCATAGTAATGTAATTTAAAAAAGAAGTTTCCAACTTCATTCTAGCAATTTCTTATTTGTTTTTTTTTTCAACTAGTAGCTAACTATTTAAAGCTGTTAACAAAAAATCTTTTTTGGTTCTGATTATTGAATTAATCTGTCGTGAATTTTTAATTCATTCATATAGATTAAGGGCTTTTTGCCGTGAGGGCCGCATTGAAATATCAATTGCTGACCAAAGAGGGGAAGGTTCTAAAATGTTTCAATAATGATATTGATGTAGTTTTTTTCATAGTTTTTTTAGTAGTTTTTTTTGTAGAGCTTACAGTTTACTGAATTAAAACAATTTTTTTTTTATTTTTTAATATAACATGCTGTTGATTTTAATGTTAAAATATTTCAATGTTTTCAATGATCTCAATGTCTCACTATTATATTCTTACTCTAAACCAAACACTGTTTTATTTAAGCAGAAGTTTATTTGTCCCATGTTTCCAACATGCTTGCAAGCAGCGTCGATATAAACTTTATTAAAGTGAAAATTATAAATAATTTACCATCATCATAAAAATTGTAATTATCATCATCATTTTCAGCATCAGCATCATCACTTGATAGCAACCATTCCCCACTCCATCAGTCCATATAATTCAACAGGCCAGCGATATGTACACTGTACAGTATATCTTACGTAACGACTTACTAAGCTTGATTCCAACGGCACGATTACCAATTTATGTGTTTTCCCCGACATCATTATGACAGAAAGGAAAATTATTGAAATCAAATCTGCCTGAATGCTTGCACATTCACACACTCTTAACCAAGCACACACACATACACACACACATACACACACACACTCAACCAAACACACACACACATAAACACTTATGTACGTATGTAAGCCCACATAAAACCAAATTAGAGAGGATTGGCACATGACGGGCAAACACTTCTGAACTGTTAACTGAAGCAGAGATGCATTTTTTTGTGCAAATTAAATTCTGTAAATTATGCGGGCAGGCGTATGAAACTGATTGATTTACAATTTTATGAAATTTCATATACAATGAATAAGCGTTAATAAATGACTGAAAGACAAAAAAATAAATATGTTTCTCTTCTAATGATACCTCAAAATGTCCTTGCTTCATTTTGATAGTTTATGATCGTTGTTATATTTTTGGATGCAGAAAGTTTTATAAATACATATTACACGGGGTTAGGTGATGTTTATTGCATGACGCTTTAAAAACTGTTCAATTACACTTAGAAACTTCAATTTTAGGAGCTTTTTCAATGAAGCTGCTAGAGTACCACTGGTCTAATAATAGCCAGTCGTTGCTACAATTTCATGACATCCTCTTGAGATGCCCTCGAAACTTCCAAATAAACTACACCATCAGCCAACCGGCGCACCATCAATTAATCCACAGCGAGAGGACATTTATTATCCTCATATCTGATTCAACGAGAACCGTTCGAATGATCGTTCACCAACCCATACATTTGAATGTAAATAGCGCTGTCGAAACGTCTGCAACCTTATCTTTGCATCTGCCTGCTGATGAGACAATCTTGTCTACGAGGCGAACGACAACATCATTAGTGGAGCCACTAGCAGCGAGGCAAACTGATGCAACCAACATGTCGAGAGTCGCATCATTGACGTCATCATCTTCAACATTATTCCCACCACTATCAGTACCATCGTTATTGGTATCAGATACAACACCGAATACATCATCATTATCATCATCGTCAGAAGCATTATCAAAGTCGTCATCATCATATTCTTCTTCATCGTCATCATCATATTCTTTATCATCATCATCGTCGTCACAGTTATTACCCTCATCATCAACACCATTGCTATCATCATCAACACCATCGCCATCATCCTCATCTTCCTCCTCCTCGTCATCATCCTCACCCCCGCCCTCAACGGACGTGGCCTGGAGTATCGACACCCTCTTACTCTTCATTTCAGTCTTGCTGACAATCACATCGAACATCATTTTCTACGTGACCCAATGCAAACACGCAAGTCAGTTTCATACATTCATTTAATTTGTTCATTCATTCGTTCGTTCGTTCGTTCGTTCATTCATACATTCTGATATTGATACATTTTTATATAGATACGTTATTAAATTGATACAGGATACATTCATATATTGATACATGATATATTGACATTTTTATATACTGATATATTGATGTAATATTGATACCGTGACACACTATTTCTGTAGAATTGATACATTTCCCGACATGCGTTCCTACAATGTGTTTTTAAACATTTCATCGTTTAAATGGAAACTTAAGAGACAAACATGATGAAATCGTTGTTAATATTTTTGTCGCATTTTAATGTTTTAATTATTTAAAGATTGTAAATGCTGTTTTTAACCTTTGCAGACTGTTTCGGCATGGACTTCCGATACAGTTCAAAACAAAAGTGCTTTATCATCGCTCCCTATGTTACGATAAAAATGTTATATTCTTTGTTCATGACGCCTTCATGTTTCATTGCTTTATTCTACACAATCAACAAGTAAGACCATTTAAACGTTGCTGAGTGTTTTTGTTAACCATTTAAATCTTGTGCTTCGGCAAACCAAACAGAACTGCGGTGGACGGGTTGGCCAATGTGACAAGTTTTGTGGAAGATTTAAACGAAATGCGCAATTCAGCAATCGGAGACATTCGTTTACAAGCTAGGCGTGAAATTTCACGGCAAAATGTTTTGGCCCATGAACGAAAGGTGTGCATACTGAACGGCCTCACATCTGCCGAGCGTGACCTCATCAATGTAACTACTTTTTAACTCGAATATTTACTCGATAATCACTTGATTTTTCAATAAACTTATCCAACCACGCATTTCTATTTTATCAAACTGTTTTTTCAACCAAATATTTTTTCAACGCAATCATTTTCAACTGACTTTTCAATTTCAACTCATAATTGATAATCAGCTGTATGATGGATTCCGGCTAGAGAAGATGAATAACGACATGATAATTGAATTTTATATTCGCTCATACTTCCTGACTCTCACAGAAAACGTCAAACAACAAATCAAAATTTTCAGGTAAATATTTTTTTATAGCACTTTAAAGAGCATTACGTAAAATAAAATAACCATGTGAGCAACATTCAAAATATAAAAAAAACACAAAATCAAATTAATTTTCCACTTAGAGAAGTGTTTTTAAATTCTATTCTGCCGCAAGCCTTCAAGAAATTAAACAAGAAATTGAAAAAAGAAAGACTACAGAACTCTGTCTTAAGAAACAAATGGTTAAATGCCGCAAGAATTTTATGGGAGGAAATCATTAAAGAAAAAAGAAGAAAGAAGAAGAAAGGGAAGCTAAAATTCGAAGAGTTTATAGGCTTGGAGTCAATTTTTGTGAAAGAATTTATGCTAGGTACCTAATTTTCTTAAAATTATTTTCAAGTTTGTTTTAATATTGATAAAAAGTAAGTAACATGGAATCCATAATAAAAGTATATTAATTTATAATTTCAGTGTTTGATGCGGAACTGCCGGACATAAGAATGCCTTTCTCCAGTGCTGTTCCCAGCGCGGCCGTTACAGATGACGCATCTTTGAGCAATTCCATAACTCTTCCACTTAGCCAGTGGATTGTTGACAGTAAGAAGAAACTGATGAAGTTGAAAAATGACGAATCTAACAAAGTTAAGAAAGTTTTAGCTAGCAAAATGAACAAAACTTATACATTCAAAAATGGTATTAAACGTTTGCGACACAAATACACTGAAAACAGCGTGAAAGACAAATCCATTAATAAAGACCGGGCACATCAGCGCTACAACAGCCACAATAACGACAGCAGCAACAACCACCAACTTATGAAACGACTATATAAATTTAAAATTGCATCTCTTACAATTATATTCACAACGGAGCTGCTGATATTTTGTTGCAGATTTTTAAGAATGTTGAAAATTGTTTTTCTGCTCTGCAACGCAGAAGAATATCGATGCTGCTCAACTTTTGAAAATGTGGACGCAATAATTTTTGTTGAACCAATAAAATGGCGTGAAATTCTCCTAAATGTTAGATTTTTTTGCAATTTTTTTAACATTTTTCAACTAAAATTTTATCCTTTTTGCTATAAATAAATGACCACACATATTTTATAATGAAAACCAATCTTTGAAAAACGTTATTATCTCGAAATAAAACGCGCAATGGTTAACGGTATTTCAAACATTTGGCCCGTTGGTGCAAGCAGACTGACAGGCAGGCGGAGAGGTAGCGTTGTTTGTTAAAAGTAATCATTCAGAGCAAACTGACCATCTTCCTTATTTGTTTGCACTGTGTTTATTACGATTTGATTGATGGACGTGTGATGATATAATTACAACAAAATGCAAACACTGACAATGAAAATAAGGAAATTCGTGTTGTCTATAGTTTATAGGCGGATATTTGCCATTTCAATAAAAATGATAAGGTTATATATTACCGCAATTAAATTGACGCAACATGCAACAACAGCTCAACAACAGTGGCTACGTTACAAAAGTGTTGTTAATGACGTCATCGCTCATATGTCTTTGGTATCTATGGAAAGCCTCTGAAAACGTGATGAAGAATGAGATAAATGACTTGTTGAGCAGAAAGTTGGTTGATATTCTGGTTAGTAAATTTTGTCTATCTCAATACGATCGCTAGAAAAATTGCTAAAAAATTGTTTTACATAATCGAATTTAATAACGCAAGAGATTCAAAAAAGTATGAAAACTTATTAATAAGAGTCACAAATGTTTTGAAATACATTCATAAAATATTAAATTATTGAAATGCTTCATATAGATTGAGACAATTGAATATTTTCACAGATCCAACCAATCGAATCTTCCTTTGAAGCGGCGAATTCATCGGTGGAAATCAACCAAATGAGATTGAACGCCTTAGAACTTCCAACGCTCGCAAACGTTCTTCTCAACAGAAGAAAACGATTTCAAAATTTAAAAAATGTTCTCGTGCATTTGAAATTTTTGTCCAACTATTATACCAGCTTGAAAGTATCGTATTGGGACAAAAGGATAGAGTATATAACCGCCAATACGAGCAACTTAAGCCTCTGTCAGGCTCATAACAAAAAAATTATTAGCAACTATTTATTTCAAAAAATTTCAAGAAATGAAAACATTTATAACGGAAAAGAAGATAATATCTGCTTCCGTGAAAATTATGTAAATTTACTGTTTTCCAACAACAACAACAACAGCAGCAGCAACAACAACAACAACATCAACAACAGCGTCGACAATTGTTACAAAAATATTCCTACAATTATTGAAAAAGTCAGCGAAATATATGAGGCAAATGAAAATTGCGATGTTTTTCTTGACGGCCTAACGAAAACATGCAGCGGCTCATCTTTAGTCCCATCATCTACGTCAACAATATCTACATTTTTGCCAACAACGCAATCTACGTCCGCACATTTCATTTCACCGCCAACATCATCTGCATTATCACGTTCATCGCCATCATCGCATTCGACATCATTGGCATCAGAGACAAGATTAACACCTCTTGTGATGAACTCCATGACCAGTTCATTATCATCACCATTATCATTTGCAACAACACAAACAGCACAAGTTTCCATTAATTCACCATCATCAACATTAACAACGACATTGTTATTACATAAGTCAACATTAGATATGCCATCCTTGTTGCAATTGACTAAGTCTTACTATAAGCAAACACCATCAACAACCATGACAACAACAACAATAGCCCAAACAACAACAACAACATTTACAACGACAGTTACTACAATCACAACAACAGCATCAACCAATGTAATCTTCGAACCATGTTTGATTTCTTTGATCCCAGCTCGTCATATTCTCAAGTCTGATTGATCTTTCATTTTCAGGATTTTTACATTTGGTTTATTTATATATCTTGATATTATTTAAAACAATATATTTATATATCTTATTAGTATTTAAAACGATTAATTGATTGTTTAATGATGGTATTATTAAATTATTATTAGCGTCCACGAAAATTATACTTTCCGTTACAGGCCGAACTTAACAGCAGCCAGGGAAGCGGTAAGGTCGAAATGTGAATTCTACGTCGGCAACTTGCTCATCATTTCTCGTTCACTTTTTAGAATATTCATTGTTTATATTCTTATTTATTTTTCTTGTAACATTTTTCAGAAATAAATTTTCAATATATTTCGTAACCGTCATATGGTTCGCTGATGGTGTCTTGAGAAATAACTGGTGATTAAGAGTTAATAGAATATTTAAAAAATATATTTTTAAAAAGTTTATCAAGTTTTTTTTATGAATTTCTCTTTTTTTTTTTTTTTTTTTTTTTTTGTTTTTCATGTCATTTAATGGTTAATATTCATGAATGTTTGGCCATGCACAATAAACTACAAATATTTTCAATTTAAGAAAACTGCCTTCAAACTATTTATACGGCGTTTTGAATATTAAAAAATTGAACGTTTGTTTAGTTTCTACATAAACAAAGGACTAAGATATTTGATAATAGGATATTTGTTTTTGAAATTATTTAAACGGCTGAAAATTAAGTATATCTGAAACTATTAAACCCTTTAATCATTATCTATCTGGTTAGTTCTTGAGAAGATGGGTTGAAAAATTTTGCCATGGTTTTGAGTTTGTTCAATTTAATCAAATTATTTAAATTTAAATTTATGATTTGCCAAAAAACATTAACTGAACCAGAGTTTTTGACCCCTGGAAATACATTCAATCTCATCTACTTATCCTCCTACCGGTTTACTGATCGTTCTTGAATAGATGTTTACGTAAAACTTACAAAAAAAATCACATTTAAATTTTTCAAATGCTGTCAAAGTTAGCTAAAAAAAATACTTGCTACAACTTGTAAATAACACTTTTAACATTTTGAACAACATCATAAACACTTTAATCAACGTTATTAACATCGTAAACATATTCATGTACATCTTAAACAACATTACAAAACATCATTAAAAACATTATAAACATCTTAAACAACATCCTAAACATATAAAACAACACTATAAACATCTTAAACAAAATTATAAATACACCATCAACATCCGAGGATCCGGAATTTTTTGCCTATTTCCGTTTATTTGAGAAAATACTATGTTGTGGGATATAATATTTTACACATAATTTTCAATATTTTCTTTATGTGTGTCTAATAGAAGGTGCGTGTTCGCATGCCCACACCCCTCCCCTCTGAATGGGCCACTGGTGGTCAGCAACATTCAACATTAAACTACAACTAAAACTGAAATGTTTTTAAAATTATTTATATACTGTGTGATTTGAAATCTGAGTTTTTAAGTTTTGTTCATTAGGAATATCGCTATGGAAAGTATTCTTATAGAAATGCAAATACCATAAATCTACCTTAATGATGTTTATAGCTGTCAAAACGACAACAACCACAACATTAATGTGACATATATTGTTGCATGGAAATAGATATGTAACTATAAAGTCTTCATTAAATATCATTGCCCCAATGTTGCTTAAGGTTGCGTGGTGGTTTTGAAATGTTAGCTCAATAGTCAGTTTTAGCTTTGTTTCGAGGAGACCTGGTTCGACCGCAAAATGTTTCGAAAATAGGCTTGTTGACGAACATTACGGTAATTAATTAATTAATTAATACTAATTAAAATTATTAGCTCATTCATCTTGAAACATATTGAAACATGTAACTCTATATTTAGTTTGTCGAAAAAAATCTAGTACGAATAAAAAATAACTAATGAAATATTTTAAATGTTTCGTTATTTTTTTTGAAGTTCATTTTTATTACAATATTTTAAAATAGTGATATATATTTAAATGATGGTTTTTTCAAATTGAAAATGAATTTATAGGTATTTTTTTAGATTAAATTCAAAAATAAAAGAAACAAGAATCAAGGTCAAAACGAACCATTGTTGAAATTTTTATTTAAAAAATTATTTTTTGAGATAGGCTGGATGATGAACCAAATTATTTAGAGTAATTTATATACCAGATCAAATTCATAGAAGCAATTTACATAATTTTTATCGACGGGCGATTTATTCAAATCATCCGTTTATTAAACAACTCCGAGTATTGTAACAGTGCAATCAACATAACATCCAATAAAATAACTAACACAAAAACAATGTTTTTTCTTCTATGAAGAAAGAAGATGCATATAGCGTCAGTTGTTCTGAGAAGACGTTACTGATGGGAAGATGGTGGCTGACGTCTCGAGACTCGATCTTTCGTTGGTCGTCTGGTTGCCTCCAACCTCCTTTTGTTCCGTGTCGACGCTGCTGCTTTCCAGGTCTGCGATGTTTAACAGTAGAATTTGCGATATTTTATAAATGGCATTACATCAATCGAGCGGGAGTTTCAAAATCTACAAAAAGGTAGACGTCATCGATTTGGAGGGTCTCTCAAAACTTTAAATGAGATCATTGGCTGTTTGATTGGGCTTTATTGACAATTCATTTGCTTTCCAAGTATTATAGAGTTGCGTAATGACAGATAAGAGTTTTTTTCATTATTTCATACATAGTTTTGTAGATTTTTTTGGTCTAAAATTATACAAGACAAATCAATTGGGTTAATATAAGTTTTTCAGCATTGAAATATTTGGTTACTGATGATAGGTGGAGGCATGACGACTTTTTGATGGGTGTGAGGGTTCGGTCCACTTCAACGCTGTCCTTCTCTTGCAGAATATGTCTCATTAACAGTGTACATAATTTTTTTTTAATAAAGATGTTTCTGAATTTTTTTATATTTGGGTTTGAGTTGGTAGATGTAGACATGCAAAAGGATAAGAAATGTGACCTTATAAGGCAAATTAACAATGTTAAGTTTTTGGATTGATGAATTAGGTGAAATATTTTGTAAACCGAAAAACCAATTAATAGGACTATCGGTTAAAGGAAAAAGCCGCTTAATGGGACCAATTGAAAGTTATTTCGCAAACTTGTTAGTTACTTCGCTTATAACGCGTAATTTACACAACTTACATCTTATGCTATATGAAAAGGTATGCTGATATGAAAAGGTTCGCCGTTTGTCCACACTCTAAAATTTGAAATATCAATCATCAAATACAAGAATAATACAATCTTGTCGACTTTTTCTATTGAAATGTCCTACAAGTGTTATCATTCTTCATATTTTATCCACATTGAAAAGAACCTCGCCGCCGACGATAAAGGAAACCAGATAGCATGGACAGTAGCACGGAAATGGCTAATGCCAGTATGATGCCGATTCTCACGTTGTTCATGTACGCTTGATCAAGAGCATCGTCTGCTGACAGCATTTAACGAGTCGCGCAAAATTTAAAGTATTTTTTAACTCATTTAAAGTAAAATTTAAAACTTTCATCGTTTACTATATCAAAACTGAATATATATTTCTAACATTGATAAAAAATTAATTGGTTGTAAAATAAAATTGTAACAAAATGTTAACAAACAAAAAAGTTATAAAATGTTACTAATGCGCAATAATGCCGTTTGAAAATTCAAAATGTTCGAATATATATGTGACCCATGTTATGCATATACGGGTCAAAACTCGTATATACATAAATACATAGTCTTTTGGAATAGTGAAAAAAAACTCTCAACTTTGTGGAGATGTGGCGTTTGCAGATGTTATGGCCAGGAGGTTAATTCATACCTTCATAACATTCGGAAGAGAGTGTAGTATATAAACGAGATATCAATTGTGGAAAGGTTGACTAACATTTGGTCATTAGGACTTTGGTGTCTGAAAACGTACCCTTTGTGATCGTTTTGTTGAGCTTCATAGTGCTGGTGTAGAGGGAACACGTCAGCATGGACCTGTGTAGGGACTCGATATATTTCAATTTCCAAGTTTTGTTCTGCAAAATAGTTTTAGATATTTTTTATAAGCAAAATTAATGAGCGCAAAACCAGATCATTTTTTTAGCTTTTTCATTTGACAAACAAACATTTCAGGCTTCAAATTTTCTTACCCTCGAGTTAATTTTGCAAACTCGCAAAATTATTGCATCGTTGATTTTCATCGATGGGATATTATGAGAAAAGTTGATTGAAAGTTAAAGAATAAATTTCTATATTTGAAAAACACGTTGAAGAATATTTTTACTGATTGTATAATAGCGACATTTAATTTAATTAAAACCTTGGTCACGTGGAACGAAATAAGCTTTAGTCAAAAAAAATTGTAAATTCCTACCAATAAGACAGGTGCGTTGGAAGTGATCTGCTTACGGAATGAAGAGAAACGTTTCGAAGAAGGATGCCTGTTCTTATCTTTAATGCTCAGACGCAGCATCCAGTAGTTGTTGGGGATGGATTCGTAAGGGAAGGAGGCCTGCAGCGTGCAGCTTACGTCGTAAACTTTTGAATCCTCTACTTTGTACAGTTTAGGGTGGCCTCGAACGGTTTCCGCGTTCACCCTCAAAGTCACTGGAACTCCTGTTTCGTTAACACGTAGTTGATTTAAATTGGTTAGGCTCAAAAGATTTATTTGTTTTTGTCTTGTCTAAGATGTTTGTTTTTTAATTTATGTTACTGCTTGAAAGTCGTTGTTTGTTGTTTAATTCGTTTCTAAAGCGCTATTTCCGTGATGTTCAACAAGCTAATCAATAAACTTTACAAACAGATGGGCCATGAAATCTGCTCTGAACTTTGTGACAAAGAAGTAGTTAGAAAAAGAGGTTGAGACTTTTAGAAAAAAAGACCAAAAAGAGCTAACGCAGATTTGGCATAAGAGTGTTTAACAGGAGTTAAAAAAAGTGAGAACGAGAAGACTATCATCGGGTCGTTTAGGTTCAATTAATACATCTGATAAGAACTTAGGAAATAATTTAGATTAAGACGTACATTAATGTGCAAATTTTAAAAATTATTCTATGTTTTACAGGTAGCCAGTGCAAGAGAACAAGATATGGAGATGTATGAGGAAAGAAGAGGGCACGCACGAAGCAAAGTTTAAAAGCTTCACTTAGAGGATAAAGTGTAGAAATATAGGACATTATTCGATACACGATACGATAAAATATGATGCGATACGATACGATACGATACGATACGATACAACAGGTATGTTACGACGTTAAAAGAACCTGCAACGATGATATCATACTCTACTTTGCCTCCCTCGCTGGTGAACCTCTTGCCTCCTTCTTCATCAAAATTCCACTCGGCTGGTGACTTCGGTTGCCACACGTAACTGGCCAACACGACCATCAATGGATCATTTAACAATTTCAACTGAATGAATCCTGCGCGTTTGTATGTTCGTTCGTTCGTATGTTTATTCGTTCGTTCGTTTGTTCGTATGTTTGTTAATTTGTTGGTTGAAAACGGTGCATTAATGTAGATGATGGTGAAGTTGAGGAGTACGATGATGATGATGGTAGTGATGGTGGTGGTGATGCCTTGTTGCTAATAACGAAAACAAAAAACATGAGACAAAACAAGAAGCAAATAATACTGAAAATTACAATAATTATAATAAGAATGAAAGATGATGAAAGTTTGGACGAGAGAAATGAAGACAACTCATGCGATGATGTTAAATATTTGACCTTGATAGCTCAAGTCTGCCACAGACCATCATCATCATCATTATATCACCATCATCGTCATTAAATCATCATCAGCATCAGCATCCGCAAATTAATATCATTATCATTATTATTCTTAAAAGCATGGTACGATGGGATTGTTATCATCTATTCCATCCGCTATTTTACGATCATTTCAACTTTAAGACATGTTGAACATCGTGAACGAGGCCCAAGCTTATGATGCTTGTGCGATTTTATTCTGAATATTATTATTATGTAATGATAATAATTATACAAAACCATTTGAAAATTTGAATTTTACATTTCAAGAAGCATCATTCCATTTTTTTTAGTCAGCCCAGAACTAGAGGATCTCAGAATAAATTTTCAAAAAATATTTAAATTCATAAAATAAATAATCACGATTTATCATACCTGTATTTATTTTTCGACATTATCAATTGTTAGAACTTCATGTATACATGAGACCAATTGGTGAAATGAAACAAAACTAATTTTGAAAAAAAATAATTTCGATTAAATTTTATGAAAATGTGTATTTAAATTACTTATGATGGTGGGATCGTCTTCGAATTCATCGCCGATTTCAGAAGCATTTGTGGTGTTGGTTTGTTCTCCGGGGGCTGCTGTAACGGTGTTCGCGACAGATTGGTGGATGTGGAATGATGTGATGACAAGGATGACGACAGCGTTTAACACGCAGGACATTAATCATGGCTGGCCAGTCATGAAGTTTATTCCTCTGATTGATAATTTGTATCCAGTTTTGTGATACTTTTCTTCCTTTTTAATTTTTTTTTGTTTCTTATTTTTGTTTTAACTTGTTTATTTTTTACGTCATAAAACAAAAAGTGATATTTATTGACTTTTTTAAATAAAATATCAGAGAATAAATACATATATCGGTATAAAAAAAAAAAAAAAAACAGAAAATAAAATATAACAAATATTTGGTAAACATTCATTCATCCATTTTCATGTTTTAACATTTGAAAGAAAATGAATGCTGTAAAACTGAGCAAATGATTCGACTGAAGAAAAATTATTTTAAAAGTTTTCTACCAAATAAATACCAGATTCGTTGAATTTAAATTTTACATCATGGAAATAACAAAAGTTTTGTAAATGTAAATGAACCTAAAATGTTTATTCTTAAAAAAGGAATATAATTTTTGTTTTTTATATAAAAATCTTAACCATGTATTTAATGCTTTGTTTCGTCGTCATATTAACCAGGTTTAACTAAAATTTCATATTTGTTTATGTTTTGTGGGAATATATTGTTTAAAGTACTAAATGAATGATTTGTACAGATTTCTTTGCATGTATGAAAGTTACACGCAACTCTCAAAACCCTCGGTTTATAAATGCACTAACAATAGCAGAGTTGTATTTATAAATAAAATGCGATCCTAGCATCCTGATGTATACAAAAATTTATATCAATATTATCGAAATTGAAAAAAAAAATAAAATCAATTTAAAATAATATATATATATAATTAAATAAATATATAATAAAATAAACATGTAATTAAAGAGTTAAATATTCCCTTTGTTAAGCATTTCTTCGATAGTTTTTTTCGGTGGGGGTCCTTTGGCAACTTTGTCCTTCTGTTTAGAGCGCTCCTCAAACAGCAAGATCCTGCCGTAGAAGTATTTTATTTTCAATTTTTCATTTGAAGATAATTTAATTTTCTTTTACATTTACGATGCATTTGTAACAATTAGTACGGTAATAATCTGCAAAAGTAACAAAAGCCATGAAAAACTGTAATATAGTTTTGAAGCTATTAAATTAGCGTTGATTAACTTACAATTAAAACGAACAACGAAACGAATTTAAACAAAAGCAATAATAAAATAATAATAAAAACCCCAAAAACTCAAATGAAATATATATAAATAAACAAATTTAACACTAACAAACGTAAGACGGAATTTTTTGACCCCAGCATCATGTCCAGAAACTCCCTGTAGTTTATCGTTCCGGTGTCAGTTTTATTCACCTGGATAGTTTACAAAGAATTGGTAATTAATATTTCTTACAAATATCCTAAAAATATTTAGTAAATTAAAAAGTCTAACAAAGTATAAATATAATTCATCTAATAGATTGAGTTATGTAGCAGATAATTGAGATAAGATGAGGCATAGAAAGAAACGTAGCCAATGTTTTCATTTATCACCACCATCATCATCATGATCACAATCATATTCACCATTATCATAACCATTCGTCTAATCAGAGTAATCATTATCATAGTCATCATCGTTACCAACATCATCCTTATCATTACAATCCTCATCATCATAATCACCACAATCAACATTATCATCATCGTCATCATCGCCATCACAGTTCACCTCCTTGATCATCTTCTTGCACTCCAGATGGGTTTTTGGCTGTCCGATCTTTTCCAGCATTTGCTTCAACTCCATGAAATCTTTAATCGACAAAAAAAGGTAATAACAGCAACAACAACAATAATATTAATAATAAATAATAATAACGGAAAAATGATTGAATAATAAATATCAATAAAATAATTTTTTCATTTTTATTTTCATCATTTTCACGCACCGAACTTTTTCAATAAATCTTAAAATAACAACAACGATTATTAGAGCAATCACGTGACAGGAGGATGAGGACGTCACAAGTGATGTAATGACGAAGACGACGACGAGATGAGGCTAGTAAGGATGGGAAAAACGTTGAAAATGTTAATAGCGAAGCACAAAACACACACGTTTGCTAGGAAGGTACACCATGAATCATGTAGTCATATTGTTTGTGTTGCTTTGTATTTAATATACATTACTGTAATTATATCAATGCTTTATCTACTGCATTCAAGATTTATGATGTCATCATCATATCATTGTTGATGTCATTCCAATTATAATTAATTATTATTATTATTGTTATCACTAACCATATTTTGTTATTATATTAAATCGTGTCGTTATCATCATCATCATCATCATGATTGTCGTCATAATCATTACATTAAAACCCTCATCATCATCAGTACCCTCATAATTATTATTATTATCATTATTATTATCACTATCATCATCTTAACCATCATCATCATATCATATCATTATCATGGTTTTAATTAAACTTATTAGGCCACAGTTCACCAATGTGATATCCTAGATAGAGTAGCAATAATGGTTTGGTGATGATGATGGTGACGATGATAATGATGAAGATGGTTATAATTTGTAATATGATGGGAGAAACTGTCAAACATTATGACGACGGTGATGAGGATTATGATGATGGTGATAAAAACAACAACAACAGCAGCAGCAGCAACAACAACAACAACATCAACAACGATAACCACAATAATAATAATAATAATAATAATAATAATAATAGACAGAATAAATTCAATTCTGTCATTCTTGTCCCTACATTTTTGTATTTATTTAATTTTTATAACTACTACTACTACTGCAGCTGCTACTACTACTACAACAACTACTGATGCTACTACTATTACTACTACTGCTGATAAGAGCCTAAGCGTAGTAGTAGTAATATTACTACAATAACAACAACTACTACTACTACTACTATTAATATGATTACTACTACAACCAATATAATTATAATTTTCATATAATTATTATTAATCAGTTGGATGACAGAAAACAGAAACGCACTGTTACAGTAGTAAACACACACACAAACAAACAAACACAAACACACACAAACAAACCCACACACACAAACAAACACACACAAACACGCACATACAAACACACAGATAATAAAACATCAACTGACAGATGAAGAAAAATTAATTTGACTGATGTTAATTATCAACCATCCGGTTTCTGAAGTTTGCTCTGTAAATGTCAGGATATATAATGCTATACGATATGATGTAATTATTATGTTACAAAAAATCATTATGATTATACATCTATTTGCTACCAAAATATGAAACTTTTGCATTTAAACAATGATATCAACTTGTAACTTAATGACTCGAGTTGTTTCCAATTTAGATATCCCTTGTATTACATTACGTTAATTAAACGTAATTATAAAAAATTAATTAAATTATATTTCATTAAACAGAGTAATTGACGAATAATGTGGTGAAGACTTTCAGTGATCAAATCATCGTTCACCTACATTCGCTCAAGTACCAGAAGATACAAAGTAGAAGACGCACTCAGGCTTCGCATATAATATTAATAACCTTTCACCGAAAACTATTAGATAGCACTACATTCTATTAACATCTACTTATTAACATACTGATCGAAAAAATTATGTTGATGTGACTAATGTATATCTACTGCTATACTCAAATAGACATGGTTATTTATATATTTTTAAAACCTCTACCCATAAAGCCGAATAAGTTTTACAATAAATAGCAAACATCAAACTTATTCTCCAAACTCATAAACATTTGTATGAATTTCTACATCAACAATTATACCCTCACACACGGTCAACAACCTATCAAACACCTATCGATGATTCATTGATTAATATCCGTATTTAGCAATTTATTCAGTGACTTATTTAATTATTCGAGATTTTAAACGCACTTTAAACCAGGTCAGTCAACACACAACCATTTGAAGTGGTGATATTTTATTTAATCTTTGTATTTTTCTCATAAGATGAGCTATTATAGTTATATACATAATTAATTGGAATATAACTTTTACCGCGTGCGTATATCAGCATTAACGTTAATGCTAACAAGCACGTAAACAAACGTTAAAACATTTAACCTAGCATACCCAACTTAACAATTATTATCTATAGCATCGATAATATTGTTATTCAGTGAAATAGGATGTTTATTGAGGCGCACACTCGTCATAATGTTGTGAAATGTTAACGCAAACCAACTCAAGCAGATTGTCATCGTCATTTTCGTCACGTGATTGCTGGAGGTTGAACTTAATGTTTTGATGGATTGATTTGAATTGATTGAAAGTGTGAAAATGTTCGAATGAAATATTACGGATTCGAAAAAAGTTTCACTAAGTTTAAATAGCTGCATTGCGAAGTGTTAACAAGTTTTAGAAAATGAACCGAAGAAACGAGATGAAACAAAATGTAATGAAACAAACGAAACGAAATGAATTGTTATGAAGTTTGAAAAATTACCGATGTCCCCAGAATTGTCGAGGTCAAATTCGACGAATTGCTCTGAAAAAATATGTAAAAAAGTAAGGAAGAGTATAAATGAATGGAGAAAATAACTGATCGAATTCTTGATCGGTCAATTGAACATTATATTGTTTCATATATGAATGAATGAATGAATGAATGAATGAATGAATGACTGAATGACTGAATGGCTGACTGAATGAATGAATGAGTGAATGAATGAATGAATTAATGAATGAATTAATGAATGAATGAATGATCAAAGACTGAAAGAACGAACGAACGAACGAACAAATGAGTAAATAAATAAAATGTTTCCATGTTAACAAATGAACGAACTAGAAAGCTTTCAGATTCATCATAAAATATACGGGAGAATATAATGAATGAAAATTTGCAACATAAATTAATAATCTAATAATATAAACAGCATAGTAATAGAGAAAGAATTGTCATATAACCGGATCTCCGTTAAATTATAAATATATTAGAGAGAGAGAGAGAGAGAGAGAGAGAGAGAGAGAGAGAGGAGAAAGACAAAAACAGCAGCAAAACTTGAAATTAAGTACAAAAAATACTATTAACTTTTGTAGCTGGCTAACTTTCCCACCAAATCTTCAACTTCTTTGTAGGCTTCGTGGGTGAGGTACTCCTGGTGGTGATGGTTGTGATGATGATGAAGATGATGATGACGATGATGACGACGATGATGACGACGATGATGACGACGATGATGATGACGATGATGATGACGATGATACAGGTGATGCTGATGAAGATAATGAAGCCGGCTACAATGAAGTTGTGACCATGTAAGATGAATAGTAGAGCAAAGTAAAGCAAAAAATAATTAAATGATTACGAATATGATGATGTTTTGGTAATTTATTATATAATCACTATCTTTTACTAATGGCAGTACAAAAAATGTTGATATTTATTCAGTGGCGGACCTAGACAAGTTTTCCGCTGTGTCTGTTGGCCAGCTACTAACATAATAAAGATAGCAAGCAACTTAAATTAATTAAAACCTTACAACAATTCACAACACCAAATAATCATTTCTCAATTAAATGATTCATCGGTTAAAAAACAGCACCACATTAGGTTATGACAGCAAGCAGCCTGAAAGAGGTAACGTGTAATGAATGAAACCATCCATCTATCCATTTATCCATTTATCCATCCATCCATCCATCCATTCATCCATTCATCCATCCATCTATCCACCCACCACCCATCCATCCATCCATCCATCCATAACCCACCTCGTTTATGTCATCCAGCTTCTTGTTCTGCTCATTCTTCACCTTTCCAAACGTTTTCCCACCTTATTTAGAATAATTTTCAAAATTAAAAAACATTAAAATAAGTTAAGAAAATAATAAGTAAGACTTCAAAAATTATGCTGGGATGGTTTTTTATTTATAGCCTAATAATAGATTTTTACTATATTATACATTTATATGTATTGTATATGTATTGTATCTAAAGTATAGACTTATTTTTAAAATCTATTCTTCCCCGAGTGTCCGAGTCGGAGATATTGGCAGGAACCGGATTTTATGAGGAACCGGAGTCGGAATCGGATCTTTTCATCCGACTACGACTCCGGAAAATGTTATTAATTATTTTCCTTCTGAAATTTTTTTAAAGATGGTGTGTTTAAGAAAATAAATATGTGTAACAGTAGGTATTAATACAGAAAATAAATGCTAAATTATGTCAACAATTTTTGTTCAGTTAGTTTTAAGACTGGTTATAAGTGTTTTTGAAGTGTTTTTTTCAGTAGTGATGAAATGGTGAAATTGATCCAAAAGTTGAGAAATTTTGTTCAGTATGTTTTCAAACATAAAAATACAACAATTTCTTTTAGAAAAACAATTACATTAACTGATTTTAAGTGTTTTTTTAAAGTATTTTCTATTTACTTGTGATCATAAGGTAAAATTATGTTGTAAAGGTTAAATATATTTCTGGGATTCGGAACCCGAAGTTGGAATTTTTTGAGGGGTCGGAGTCGGATATTTATCATCTGACTCCGTCACTGGTTTTCCCATTATAAAATATGGAAAAATATATAAAAGACATTTTCTGCTGTCCTCGAGATTATCGGCGTCATGATGACATCGTAGTTAGTTTATCTGGTTTTTTTATCTGGTTCTTTGCTAACAGCAGTTATTTTATTAGCATGAATATTAGCAAGACATTAGCAAGAGACTCAACATAAAAATAATAAATTCCATAAATTGGCCTTTGACAACTTGTATTTTTTAACGTTTCACTGGTTTTCCAAGTTAACGATACTTTAGGTCGTGATTCATTAAGAACTGACATACGTATCAGACAACAAAAACATGTATATAACGCACCCATAACAAAGGCATCATTCAGCACACACATAACGTAATATATAACATAAAGTCATTAATGACATAACGATATTGCAGCAGCTGAACCAAAGTGAACCTAAATCAAACAAAACAACGTGACACAAAAGTCGACTCAAATACATTCACTCGTATCATATGTAATATAGACTATAGTGTAAGTAGTGGGTACACATATAAAACCTTGTTTATCTTTCATGTCCAAATTCATCTTTGACTAAATAGAGTGCACAGAACACAGATCTCTTTGAATAAATTGAATTTTACGGATAAATAATATAAAAGAAAAAGTTAAAAGGTAAAAAGTTTAATTTAAAAATTTCTTGTATTAAAAAAATAAAAAATCTCGTTTTATAGCTATTACTCTCTTGCCTCACAAATAGTACAATGCGCAGCTTTATAAAACAGCAGATTCATTATATGTCATACAGAAGCATGAAATTATATGCTCAAATACAATCACTTGCTTCATATGCAATACAGACTATAATATAATATTATATATATATATATATATACATATATGTATGCACGTTATAGTATACGTTATAGTTATTTGATGATTACTTCATGTTATATTTATTACTATGCATCATATATCGTTGGTGACATGAGCCTATATTACTAAATTGAACTTAATTGACTTAATTGATTTACTGTATATACGTACAAATTAAATACCATATATCGGCAATATTGCGTTAACTGTTTTTTCTATTAATCACTGAATCAACAGAAAAGTTTTAATTGATATTCAAAGCGATATCATAACATGTACAGTAGACCTTTAACTTAAACAATAAACAAACCGATAACAAATAATAATCAAAATAACAGTGACGTTTTTACATGAGGAAGTTCTTGAATTAACTTGACCTTTTTACAAATATCTCAGCCTAAACAATATGCTGTGTTCTAAATTAGTTGGGTGACACAGACGAAGCCTTTCTTGATTTAAGACTAATTTTTATAAAAAAAATTTCTCCTTTGCAGTTTTTTTATTTTAAAGAAAATTGTTGTGTAGTTACTTGTTCCGTAGTTTTGTTGAAGTTTCAATTTTCAAACACAAATCCTACCGTATGATAAATTGTCAATTTAGTTGAGCGACCAAATTTTTACCGCCTTCTGTTTTCGATTATTATTATTGTTGTTGTAGTTATTATCATTATAAAAAATAACAATGTTTAATGTCAGGTTCATTTTTTGACATTTCAAATTTTGTTTTTGTTTGAAATGAAATTGTAAACATAAACACATGCTGATGCTTGTTTCGCAGCACAATTTTCAATCACGCTTTGTTCAATAAATTTCTACCATCTATTGTGATGAAGCTTCCCTAAGCAAACCAACCAACCAACCAACAAACAAATAATAATTTCATATTATATCGACCCTGGTTTTTCCAATATCTTCTTCGCGTATGTTTTTATCAAACGACTATACAATTCGAAACAAAACGAACAAAAATTAATAAATTGTTATCATCTAGGAAGATGTGAACTTTTTCATAAATTATGGAGATTTCAACGTAAATATTTTAATATAATTATGTAAGAGTCCCCCTCAAAAATTTCCGACCCTACTTTAAACACACTTAAGATCGGTCTATTTTCCTTGGTAAATTTACTTCATATTCGTCTATTAATAAAGCCGGGGTGGACAAACTAGCGGCCCGCGAAAGCTGTTTTATGCGTCCCGCGAGGTCTTGTTCGTCAAAAAAGGTCATCAGCCAGACGTTATGACCCTAACCCTTCAAAAACAAAATAGTCCTCAATGCGGCCCTCACAGCAAAAAGTTTGCCCACCCTTATTTTAAAACATACCAAAAAATGTTGATTTTATTAAAATTATTACCATATATTTTAGTATCGCTACATTTAATCTATCTAGTAAAAACACGATTTTAAAAATTTTTTAGTATAAAAAATGAAAAATTTCTATATTCTCAACACTTTCTGAAGTCGAATAAAAAACATCCGTTTTCGACTCCGATTAAAATTTCCAACTTCATCGCTGTTCACAAAACATTCTTTAAATGATGGAACGACAAGTTTAAGACACTAAAATATAAAAAAAGCATTGAGCTCCTAAAATGAAAAGGTTTTTGGTTTCTACAAAATGTTGGTTTCTAAAAAAAGGGTGCAACTTTCTACGAACTACGCCAACCAAACTATCCTAACTAGAGCTCGCTCAATTGAAGGAACAAATGAACCGAAAATCATTGAAATCTTATATACTTTATTACAGATATCTAGCCCATTATTATGTCTATGAAATAATCATATTAAAAATAAACTTTAGTGATAAACAAAAAATAATCACGGAAATGAATAACAAAATCATCTATTAATAAAATTGATAATGGTGATACCCCAAATAACAATAATAAGTATAATAATACAATAATAACAATATATAATAAAATAGAATAAAATAAAAAAAAACTGGATTTAAAAAAACGAATTACAACACCAGCAAAATGTATATAAACAAATAACAGCTTTGTACAACTGGTCATTTCATTTTCAGTAAATAATAATAATAATAAATATGCCAAAAATAACGTACGTTAATTAATACTGACTAATATAAACATTATAATTTGCTAATAATATTTATATAGACAGCACTCCAGCATCTATGAAATCAAATAAATACATTTGGTCGTCATAACCTGTTATGATCCTACAAAAGTACAAATGTTCTCTATAGGATTACCTACAACATGTCTGGGCATTTACTAAAGTGTTGTTTTCAGCTTTGAAGACTTAGACAAATAAAAAAAAATCTCTCAACAAGAAAACACTGAAATGTTTGGTTCAATCATTGCAGTAATTCTCTTGCAGTAATTCAAAATTGAATTACTGCAAGAGTATTTTTTATGGAGTGTCCGGTAGACTAATTGATCGTCCGCAGTCTATTAAGAATCGAGTGGCAAAAATCATTTCTGGAGGATTGAAGTTCGACCAAGTAAGCCATACCTTACATGACCTTCATTGGCTAACAATAGCAAAAGATTATTGTTCAAGATGGCGATTCTGGTGTTTAAGTGCCTAAACGGCTTGAGTCCATACTATCTGCCTAGAAATTTATCATACAATACAACAACGGCTCATCGTATTCCGACACGTTCAGAAGATTAATTTTTTCTGTCGGTCGGAGCCACGGAAAGTTGGTTGCCACTCGTGGTCACGCTGTCGCAGGTCCAACAGTTCGGAACAGTTTGCCGGACAGTCTGCGCCAATCAGGATCGACTGTGTTCAACAATTTCGCAAAGAACTAAAAACGATTTTTTAATGCATCAATTCCACTAAGCTCCAGAAGCACCTCTGAGTAATATTAAAGCGTGCTATATAAATCTCTAATAATAATAATAATAATAATACAATCATATATATCAGATGACAGTTATTTACAATTATTTTACAATGTGTAACCAGAGAAAATGTAAATATAGAGTTTTAAAGAAGCATGAGAACAAAAAAGGGTACTTAGTATGATAGCTATGATAAATTTAATATTAATATATAAATTGAAAATTAATGAAATTGATAATATTAATAATTATATGAATTATTTAAATATAAAGAGCTGTATGTTATTGGGTCTTGGAGTGAAGCATGAACAGACAGAAAATCATGAAAAGACGAGAAGGAACACAGTCTACGAAGCGCATAGGATACCATGATAGAGCATGAAAGTTTGGAAGGATTTTGACTCGACGAGAACAAAAAGAGTTGTCACTTGCAATTTACAGTCAGCCTCAAATCTATTAATATATTTGAAAAAATAGATGAATCAAATGATGGCAAATTTGCCACAAAAATAAAAAAAATATCCTTTAAAACGAATGTAGAAAAATGTAGAAGATGATAGCCGAAACCAAGAAATGCTAAAGAAGCAGAGCAGATATAAAAGTCGTTTCATGAACGAATTGAAATT